TATTCCAAATCTTTTGATGGGGACATAGCAGAGTCTGGTACTATCCACAGACAAAGGAGTGGGTGTGTGGAACGGACAGTGACGCTGATTCTTGCATGCACGGGCGTGAAATATCACCGTCAACTGTGGTAGCATCCCTAAAAGCCAAACACAGCCCACCAGCCACACTACCCGTTTTCCTAACCACACCCAACACGTTTCTTATCTCACCTGTGCCGTTTGAGCCATCCCTTACTGGCAAACTCAGCGAGCGACACACTCGCCACATCGTCGAACAGCAGTATACAGAACTGTTCCGCGAGCACTTTCCTGTTAACCACCTTTATGTCGAAGCCGTACGCCATGTTGCGGAGGTCTTCCACCTCCGCCAAACATGCAGGTAGTCGTGGGTCGTGCTGGTATGCAGTGAGTAAAGGTGTTTGGGAAAGTATGTATGTAGTGTATATATTGTTTGGTGAGAGCTTGTTAACCTCTTTCTTGTCCAAGCCATACGCCTTGTTGCGCAGAACCTCCACATCAGCCGTGCCAGCGGGCAGCCGCGTATCGTGCTGGTAGTTCGGTAGGTGAGAATGTGAACAAGTGTACGGGATAGCTGTGCTTATTTGTACCCAGTGTAAGGCGAAGTATGGATGTAGTGGGTATAGGAGTTGTCCTGGACTTGCTGACTTCAGTATTATAGAAGCCATGCGCCGAGTTCGACAACTCTTCTACGTCAGGCACATGCGCTACCCACGTGTGCGAACGAATCCAGACGTCGCTCAGAATTCTCAAAGGGTTTAAAAGTATGACACATTCACACACTCACGAACCCACAGTATCCAAAGAGGACCATACAAACAAACATGCATGTACCCGAGAATGAACACATAACAAAGCACATAAGAATATAAAAATACACACATACACACAAACACACCCGCCCACACACACACACACACACATACACAGACACACACGCGTACATATCCTATCCTACACACACCCACCGGCTAAACACACAACACACACACACACACGTATATATATATACATACACAGAACACACACACACGCGTACATATCCTATCCTACACACACCCACCGGCTCTTTCACGTCGCCCAGAAACTTATTCCACAGCGCCTTGACCTCGGGCCTCTCCCAATCCATGGGACGTATCTCATACCAGTGCTGTAGAAACAAGCACGCCACGTCTCTGGCCGTCTCCTGTTTGAGGTCTGTGTGCAGCACGCGTTGGCTGCCACTGTGGCTGTTGTCTGGTTGAGTATCTTCAGCAGCGGCGCCTTCTGCACTCAGTGCATGACTGAAGATGTCGTTGTCGCTGGCGCTGTGAGAGGGAGTGTGTGAAGATACGGGATACAGAAGAGGCAATCAGAGACCTCTCAGGTGTGCTTTGCATTCGAATGGCATTTATATATATAT